CTAGTCGCTCTAATAAAAGATATTCCTCTGCCATGAGTTTTGATTCCTTTTGTCTCTAGACCAATGCAGTTACAACCTGGACACCTGACCCCTATGGAGTCTGAGCCAACAGGATCCCAACCTACAGACATAGTTTACAGAGAACATTATATATGGAGCATCTTTACCACAGCGCACATCCCTATGGTACAGTTCACAACAGCAGCCTTAAAGGGACTCTTGCCAACAACACTTCTACTGGAAACTCATTTAATGGCAGCACTTCAACGTTGGCTCAGAACATAATGAAGGAAATTCTCATCTGAGTTCTTAATTCCAAAACACAAATGACACCAATTGCTCATTTAAGGCTTTATCTTGCAAGATGCTGAGAATATGCAGCTCTGTGTATAAGCTGCAGAAAAGCTGCTAGAGCTGAAGAATGTTTAACATGAAGAGCCCACAGCATTTAATAGAGATTGTCATTATGGGGGATCACAAGCATTAAAGCAGATGGTGTGACTTTGGGAGAGGAATGTGCCCTTTTAGGTCAAAGCTGGATAAATAAAGTGGTGTCTTCATAGCATAGAAACCAGTGAGAGGGTATAGGAACCGTGTTGGTTCCACATGCTAGAAGTTGCTATGCCCCGGGCTCTGGTCCTACAGGTGGCTGTTTGCACAGAACTGAGCTTTTTACCCTGCTATTCAGATTGCCTAGTTCAGCCCCAGATCCAAAAGTAGGTGTCCCACAAAACTCAAAAACCTTGATCCAATTGGTTTAAATAAAAGTACAGAAAAACAGACCTCCACCAGGTAGAACTGTACTGTGGGGGGTGGCAGAGCTGAGATTCAGCTAGGGTTACCCATCCTGCTCTATCCTTGGGCCCCAAATCTTGCAAGGGAGATGCCTGTGGGTCCATGCACATGTGAGAGAAATTGGAGCTCAGCAGTAGTGGACCAGGGACCATGTGCTGCTTTGCCTAGGTTTGCCACCAGGAGGATCTGAGAAGACAGAGCTGCATGCAAGCCACCAGCACATTGAACAAATACTCTGGAGCCTGGTCTGTTTGTGGAAGGTTCCCCACCACCATCTGAGTTCAGGGAAGAGGGAACTGGTGTGATGAGCCAACCAACCAGAAACACAGCTGCCAAACTTGAAGAAAGCAAGCTAAGACAGTGCCACATCTAGGCTTTCTTCTTCCCCCCATGCATGCCGTGCTGTCTCACCCTAAGAGTGGAGCTCTTCAGGTTCTCAGACATGGTACAGTCACCCCTTATTGGAAAGTTATCTCCCATAACAGCTGGCAGGAGCATAGACCAGCACCAGCAGCAAGGACCTTTGGAGGAATGGGACATCCTCATTGCCCCATGGTCCCTGTCCACTTCCCAACCGTGATTTGGGGTGTTATCTTCCTTCTACTTATCAGCTTTAAATGCCCTGTCTCTCCAGAGCCCCCATGGTTCCTCCACATTAAGTTTCATGCCCCTGTCCTGCCATGCCTCCTCCTGCATAACCCCCTCTGCCTTCCTTGGACTAGCGCCGCACAGCAATCCAGAGGCAGGATTGCAATCTGGCCAGCTTGAGGCCAATAACAGTATAAGTGGGGGCTGTAAAACCTGACCTGAACCATGGGGAAGAAAGGTTTAGCATTTCTGTCAAAACTGCAAAAGAGGCATGTAGTCACATGGAAAATTAACCCTGTACAATCTTAGTGGATACAAAGTGTCCCCTAGCTTTACCTCAGTGTAGCTGGCTAAAATCAACCCTATGCCCCTTGAATAGAACTGAAGCTACTCCCTAATGGTCCCAGAATGCTGTGGTGACCAGATTATAGCAGTTTATGATATCATTTTGTATAGTTTAGATCAGTTTGATAGGAGTAGGGATGCAAAAATATAGCCCAAGATAAGTTTGCCCTAAACAAACACTTGAGAGCTGCTAGAGGACAGTGCCCTACTGCTAGTTTTGAAGATTTTACTTTCTCCCCAGCCAACCTGCAAAACTAGTTCATCGGGAAGGGTAAAAAGCCAGAAGTGCATATAACAAGGAAATTTGGGAAGGCCAGAGAGGATCTCTTGCTCTCTGCAGTTGTTATACACAGTATATGATTAGGGAGTCAGGATGAAGACTTAATGGGCATCCTCTGTCTGTCTGAAGAAACTACATCTGTCTAGGTTACCATCAAGAGATCTGGATGGTGGTACATCACTGGTCATATAAAGTCTATAAGTATTTAGATTGTTCTTGTTCTTAAAATTCCTTTTTTCCCCCTAAATGTTTTGTTACTACTGCAAAATACTAAATAATGCTTTGGTTTGAAATGGCTACCTGGTCTGTATACTCGCTGCTACTCTCAAGCTCCCAGAGGAAAGAATCACAGGCATTGAACCCAGTCAGGTCTGTTATATGAGCGTAGTCAAGACACTGGCTTTGGGAGTGCAGAGTCCAGTTTAACAGCCAGAGGATTGCATGATTTCACGCTAGAAAAGATAAAAAGGCATAAGATGTGACACCTGTGCCCTGGTTTCAGGGCAACCTCAGAAACCAGCAGGAGTGAATATATGTAGATACCCTTAGAATCTAAGGATATCTGCAGGGGTATAGGTTGTAGCCATGCAGGGGTATAGGTTGTAGCATAGCTCTAAGGCTATTATTATATCAGTGATTCCGTCTATAGGGTACGCCTTCTTTAATTAGCTGTCTGTGTCTCTCTAAATGACAGGTATTCAGGCAGAAGAACGTGTGGTTATCTTTGGTTGTGTGATATTTAGTCTGAACAATTTGGTCAACAACCATTATTATATATAGCTTCCAATCTGGCTGTGAGAGATGGCCAGAGGGACCAAGTCCCTGCACATCCCATTAACTCCAAGGAGAGATAAGAAAAGGCTGACAGTGTGCCAAGCTGGGTTCCCAAAAGCAGGAACATGCTGAAAAGAAGGATACTTCTGAAAACAAACATATTAATAATCAGGGCTCAGAGTGAGATTGACTGAACCAAGGAAAGTGGTAGAACCAATTCCTGTCTTCCACTGCAAAACTTTCCCACCAGGATCCTTTCCCCACCCTCGCACCTGAATTTTTGACTGGTGACCACAAATCAGAAAGCCAATTTGTTTTTCCGATGTTTGCCTTTCTGTTTTCAAATGCGTTCAAAGCAGATATTTTGCACTGTGGGTCCTTACACATGGCTTGCAGGGGTTTGCAAATAGGTTTCAGGAACTCAGTCACATTTCTTTTCTTCGTAGCTAGAACAATCTATAACGTACCTTTTCCACACTCTCTCTGTTGAAAGGACTGTTGGGAGCAGGTCCAAGCCCTGAGTCCTTTGTTCCCTTAGGCTCCCGGGACTGGCAGGAGTATAATCACAATCACTAACTTTGGGCCTCGAGGCAAAGTAGTCTGGCTGTGAACTTTGTGTTTGACAGCCCTCTTGACAAAGAGATCCCCAGATTTATTGTTTAGACCCTGAAATAACACCATCCTAAGAAGTTTTGTATGTTTTTTATTTTAATATTTCATTGTTTCTATAATTGTTGTGTCTTTTATTGTAATCCATCCTGAGCCTGTTTTGAGAAGGGTGACATATAAATCTAAAAAATAAATAAATAGGTGCCTTTTCCAGAAGCCTTTCCAGCAGCTGTTGAAACTCAAAACCCCACAGAAGGTAGGAAATATCTGTTTTAGTTGGTCTCTCCAGGGGCGCATGATAGATGCAACGCATAACATTCAGGCTTTGCACAGGGTTCCAAAACACCATTGTTCTGCACCTAGTAGCAAAAGAAATATACAGATCTAGACAAAAATAAGAAATAATATAATTCTTTGCCTCAGCTGCTTTACAGAATTCTTTGGGCCGAGGTGACCCAGGATCTTTCTGGGCTGTCCTTGGCTTGGGCTCTGACCATATCATGCCTCCCAAATCTGGGGGAGTACCAGCAGGTCACGACTGGGGCCCCCCATAATCCCCTTATGCATTGCCTATGGCTCTGACTTATGAAGTCCTACTAGCTTTGGCCCTCTTGGATCTTGGTTGGGCCCAGAGCTAAAGCCTATCCCCTTTCTTCTCTTGCCCAGAATTTCTGTTCCTGTCTGGGTGAATCTCCTGAATGTATAGGACTCCTTGCAATACCCAGTTCCTTTGTCCCGCTGCTGTTTTTTTCTCCTTACTCCATCAGCCCCCCACAGACAAGCTGGAGGATAACTTTTCCGAGCTCCAGCCACTCTCCTTAGCATATCTATGCTTCAATCCAGAGAATAGTCATTAAGTTTAATGACCCTCTATTGTATCTACTGTCTCCAAAGAATGGATTGCACACCCATAAAAAGGCATCCTGTGATACAAGTTGCATAGTAACTACATAATATGAAACAGAATTCTTACTTGAACAGGCATTTCTCTAATCTCCAGAGGACTCCAAAACTTTTTTGTTATAGAATGGAATCATGGGAAGGACAAAAAAGCTGAAAAGACACCAGTACCCATACAGTGGGAAATAATCTCAGCTCAGCTTCCTCTTGGCTTTACAAAAGGTGCAACTGCTTTAGGCTTTTTATTCTGCTACCCATATCTGGGCAGCAAAATCAATGCTAATAACACTCAAAGATCTTCTTGGAGTCTCTGGCACAGCTGGGAGGATGCTTTGGGGAAAATAAGACTCTATGCCCTGTAACTATACTAAAGTCCAAGCATAGGGGAGTGTTCCTGCTTGTTTAGCCAGCCTCTGTACTACTTTGTTCTGCCTTGGCTGCAGACTAACATGGCCAATTATCCCTGTGTTTACTTACTTAGTTCCACATGTGTAAAGTGGTATCCTGTGCTTGATAACTGCAGGTGCAGTTTCTCTCTTGCCTCAGTTAATTACTTCCCTAGCTTTAGCAAGACTGTTGTGTCAGCTTTGCCTGAAAGCATGGGCTGGGACAAAACCTTTCCAAAGGAATCTCTAAGAATTAGATGGAATCTGTTGGGTCAAAAATAAGCCATGCAAATCCAAATTACAGACTTTATTAATGAAGATATTTTGGAATGAAATCCAGAACAAAATTGACCCTTTGTAGTTGAATACACATTCATAGATTAGGTACCAAATACTGTACATTATTACAAATAAGTTAATATAAAGAAAGCATGTGCCATGGATACCATATATAAAAAGTAGTTACTAATTCTGTTAGCATCGTTAGTAGGTTAACATCTCTAGTCTATCAGAGAAATAAAAGAAAGACACATGGACAATCATAAGAGATACAGAATAGTGAGCAAAATGGGAGTATAACAGGAAACAACGATAGCTGTCTAAGTAGGGAAGGCTGGTAGAGAGGACAAGGTACTAGGCTGGGACTCTGGTGATGTGGGCTCGATTTCTGACTCTGCTCCAGTTTTCCTGAGCAAACTGTTTAATGTATGTGGGCTTCAGTTCTCTGCCTGAGAGATGGAGGAGGACTGAAAGGCACTTAGACTAAATAGGGGTGAGGGCTGCAGAACTGTTTAGGGGTATGGGCAAATATATCTTTTACCTGCTTTAAAAAGGAAAGGGGGCTGCTGCTTTGAAGTGTGTATCAGCTATTATACTGTCACTTTCACAGCTGCATGATCTGGTAGTGACATAATTACACTAAATTACCTTGACTTTGACCTTGAATGAAACAGGGTTAAACTCGTATCACCACAGAATTATGCAAATGTAGCAGTAGCATGATAGCAGCTTATACTGGTATCCTTTGATACTGAAGTTGTTACATCCATCTATACCCTGCCTCAGTGTTTCCCAGACCTCTCGCCTCCCTATTTCAGCTGCAGCCGCCACTTCTTTTGCTGCTGTTTCCTTTGCCACCAGTTCCAAACTGCTGCTGCTGCCCCTCAGCAGCGGGGTAAATTGGCAGCAATTGGCCATGAGACCTGGCAGCAAGGGGAAGGGGCACTGCTGTCTGAAGTAGGGGGTCACAAGAGTAGCTGAAGAATGGGGAAGGGCACAGCTGATTGTCACCATGATTTGCATGCACCTTTATAGGAACATTCACCCCCTTTCCCCTCCTCCCGCCTATGGGCATGCCCCAGTTTGGGAAACACTGACCTAGGTGATTAATGCTCATGGATATCCAGAGAAGTTGCAAGGAAGAGCCCAGCTGGCTGCTCCAAAACAACTGGCTTATTAAACCTGGGGCATGTTTTTACAAGATGCTTTTGACACTCCATGGTAAACCAGTCCTAGTGAAAAGCACCTGACCAGCCACAGAGATATTAAAGGATAGCAAATGCCAGTTGTCCATTGGATCTCAGAAGATTAGACTTCCTGCCAGCACTATGAAAGGCCACTGTGAGCAAAGTCAGCAGCTTTTTGGATTACTCAAAGACACAGAAACAACCCCATTCCCTCTGCTCTCAGTGCATTTCCCTTTCAGGGATGGTCTTGTGGCTAAGGCACTTGGCAGGTAGTTGACAGAACTGGGTTCTGTTCTTGACTCCACAACAGACCTTCCTGCACAACCTTAATCAAGTCATCTCAACTACTTTCTGCCTCGGTTCCACTTGTGTAAAGTGAGGATACCATTTTCTTGTCCCCCAGGGGTATTCCAAGGTTAAATCCACAAAGTCTTGGAAGGCACTGGCTTTGCTGGGACTGATGTAAGTACCTAGATAAAATGAAATTGTAAACTTCATCTACTATCAGCTGCTGCCCACAAAGCTTGGTAGGTATCCTGGTCTTAAAGACATTTTCCATAAAACTGAAAAGAATATATAAAGCCTTGGAAGATGGCAAGATTCATGGCTCCTCTTCAATGAGAGAGTTGGAGTGGTTCGTAGGAGTGCAGAGAGACTAGCAGCCAGCTCTTTTTTCCTTTCATTCCCCATACATGCAGACATACGGACAGGCTGGCTCACTCCTGCTGCATCCTGCAGGGATGCACTGTTTGCACCATGGTCTGCAAACTAGCAGTTGCTTTGCAGAATCAATTAAGAGGGAGAATTTATCAGCATTTGCCCGAATCCTGGCACTCTCTAAATGATCCTGTACCATTTAGGTAGCAGCCTGTGTCCTAGCAAAGTGCCATCACCAGGGCAATGTTTGCAAGGTCTCAGTGCAAAACTGCTGATAATCTTATCAGCTGAAACACATCCACAAACCAAATACAGTGGTCTCCTTGGGGATAAATACCAGGAAAGCCTCTGGAGCCATTTAGTGCAGTCCCCTGCATTTGTAGCCAATCATTACCCAGGGATTTGATGGACCTGTTGCCTCTTGTCTTTCCAAAGCAAAGGTCTTTGTCACCATGTGCACAACTTGCTCTCTGTTACTCTGCTAAGAAATCTAGCAGGTCCCTTTGCCTCTAAGATCCAAATGGAGGCTTCAAAACTTGTCTTGCCTGCACACTGTTCCTGGATCAATCCTTCCCCAAAAGATATAGAAAGGACACTGTGTCCAAAGTGAGCTCACTTCTCATGCTTCTCCACAGATAGATAAATAAATAGGATGAGAGTGAAAAGAAGACACAGCGGGAAGCGTACACAACAGTTCTCTGTTTGCCCCTCAGTCCAAAGAGGAGCAGAGAGGGTAACAATATGCCAAAATTAATCCAGGTCTTCCAAATGACAGCTATGTTTGAAGGACACAGTCAGGATTAGTGTGGTCTGAACTCTGTTCCTACAGTGGTGTCCTCCAGGGGTAATGGGGGACAAAGGCAGGAAGTGCCCAGGCCTCTGTCTCAGCACAAATATATGGCTTGCAGATAGATGTTGGATCATCCCAAGAAGCTTAGAGGGTGGCAGACTGAGGAGCTCAGTGCCTCGGACTACCTGGCACTCTCTCAGGCAGGAAGTCTGGGGATACCCTGGCAAGGAAGGCAGTCAGCTGGGCAGGATGGCAGCAGATGCAGTGCTGGCTCTAGACTTGAGTGATGATCTCACCATTTTCAGGCACGTAGACTTGCACGGGGGCACCCTCAGGGGACCGCTTCAGGACATGGATCTGAGGGACCTGCACAGGGCAAAGGAAAGAGCTGCTTAATGGTACTGGAAAAGGCGCAGTCATCCTGTACATCAGATCTAGAGATCAATGCACAATGCCTGCCCCATGTAGGCATCCATACTGCATCTGGCATAACAGGATCCCACACCCTGTCTCATTCCACCCAAAAGGCACTGGAGGGCACCACAAGAGGCTACGTTAAAAGTGATAACTTCAAGCTAATGAATTCGGAGGCCTAAATTTAAAAATCCCACAAATAAATAAAACACGTGAGTCTTGTTCTAATCCCTGAAAGGGATGATGTGTCACAGAACTGTACGTAGGAAGGGAACCCGAAGGTTTAAAATAGGAGTAGAGTTAGGATTTAAGGGCATTGGTGGAGCCATCTCTGATCTGTATTAACTAGCTCCCTCTTCTGCATAGGTATAGATGCACATTTTTTGCAACAGAAACTGTCGATCCTGGATCTTGCAACAGGGTTTGTCGATCCCGGATTGGCCTCCTCAGCCATCTACAGACCCACAAATATGGAAAACAATCATCTTCGACTGTGAGGGATTGCAGAAGAAGAGATGCAAGTTTTGGAAGGGTTTCTGCGTTAAATAATTAGTCAAAGACACTGCACGGATATTTCAACTGTGTGCTCAAATACATTACAATATTATTAAAGTAGCCTTAAAGGTATAGGTCCAGAGTCTGGGTTGATCTAAACTGGAGTGGTGTCATTGGAGTCAATGGGCCAAACCTCCAACTGACATAACACTTCATAGCTCCACTAGAGCCAATGATGCTGATTTACACCAGCTAGATCTAGGATCTAGCTAAGGCAGTATACAATGCTGCTATTCTACATGCAAAGTGTCACAAATCTTGGCCTGAACACTATTCTGTCACAAATATTTTACTAGCATCATTTCTCTACAGAGCAGAGAATACACGGAAATGATACACTGGAGTAAATTCATAGGAGAGATGGTCTTGTGCCTGTGTTTTGCTCCAATGCAAGAGTGACCAACAGTAGTCATTAGCTGATGGTCTCAGTTCTACGTTTGTGACTCTTTTTTATTCCTTGACCCTGGAAACAAAGATCCGACTCTCTCAGCAAAGCCATAAATACCAAGCCATGATCACTACTGTTTACCAATCAAATTAGGATGAATTTACTGTGCTAGAGGGTCTCGTTAACAGAGGCTGTGAGTTACTATCCTCTCAAGGCTGATCCCATGCCTGGTAATTGCTAACCATTTAATTACAAGGTAAACAGCACATGGGGACACAGGAGGTCAGGAGGCCTGGGGCTAAATCACTTCCATTCTCCATGCTTTGCTGCTCCTATACATGAAAGCAAGGGTGCAGAGTAGTGGCTAAGGCAACCAAAGTTTAACAGGCAATATACTAGTAGCTTTCCCCCTTATAGGTCTGCCATGCCCTTCCATCCTAACCCTCTTCCTCTTTCACGCTTTGGGGCTCCCTTCACTCACAGTTCTGTGTCTGGCCGTAGAGTGATGTGGACACCATTCCTTCTAGGGATTAGAACAAGACTCACAAGCCTATTTAATCTGTAGAAATTTTAACTTGAGTTGGCAGAGCCTAGAGCGCAATCCATTCCTGCATTCCCCCCCTTCCCCTATTCCTGCCAGCTCATATTCATTGGGCACCGGTGGGCAAGGCAGCCCAAGCTTCTGCAGTGTGCTAGGTAAAATGACCAATTTTCAGGGAGCAAAATTTGGGGGACACAGTTTTGGCCCAGCTCAGGACACTGCCTGGCACTGATCTGGGACCAATTTATCACATGCAAGGATGAAGATCCTTTTTTCAGGGAGCCTTGGGGACACCAAGACACAGCCCTGAGATTTGGGGGTGTCTTGGAAAATCCAGGATAGTTAGTTACTTTACCCCCTGGCAAATGAGAAGCTAGTGTGATAGGAAGTTCCACTATTTCCCCTCGTCATGCAATGTCCCTGGAAGAGCACTGCCCTCTGCATTGGCTCTTACTCCCCAGGCTGCTCTACCTGAACTCGCTGCACGGGGGATCGCAAGGCATACAGCTCCTTGCCTGGCCCGCTGCACATTCGAAAAGTCCCCTGCCTGTCCAGCGAATGGGGCCGTGAGTTCCTCAGCTTGGTGCGTACATGCCATGACTTCAGCTCCTCCGTCACAGCTGATTTGGAAAGTGTCCTGCCTCTGGCTGTAGCATAGTCCTTGAGGGATGGGGTGCGCACGATCCTGCTCTGGGAGGGCACCAGTCTTTGGTAGCGCATGGGCACCCTGTCCTCCTCATAGGAAAACAGAGGTGGCCCACCGGCCCCCAGGGAAGGGCGGCTGCAGCTGAACTCCCTTGCAGCCACCGTGCGGCTCTCAGATACATACTCCACAGTTGGGATGCAGCAAGGAGGCAGCAGTAGCTGCTGGGAGGTCTGGTAGTAATACACTGCTCCAGGCCTGTCAACAATCTGGCCCCTTAATGTTGGAGAGGGCTGCGCAATAGCTGGTGGGGGCACTGGCCTCAGGAAGATGTCAGGGCTGCTGCTGCCAGGAGAGGTGGCATATGAAATGCTGGAGACGTCCGAGTTGCTGTCCTCAGAGCTGGAGTGATAGGTGGGGTTGGAGACCACGCTGGGCTTAGGCAGGGGAAAGCAGTAGCTGGGGACAGTGATGGTGTAGTATGTAGGGCGCCTCCTTGGTAGCATGCTTCTTCCACGGGGTTCCACGTAGTCCTGGCACACCTCCACTCTGTGGACAAGAGGAATCCATTTAGAGACCACTCCCAACACAGGCGATGAATGAAGGACTAACTATGCCCTTTCCCCTTCCCTCCTAGAATTTCAGGCTGAAAGCAAATCAAGGACCTGCCCGTGCCTAATGGCCCATCTGCGTAACATGATTAATCCATAGTGCACAAGGGAGGGATGTAGCCAGCATTGCATCCAGTTACCTTAAACTCCCCAGCCTAAATGATGATCACACAGCCACTTACAACTGGAAACAGGCCTTGCACAAGTCTGGAGTGGAGCTCTCACTCATGCCTCTGGAGGCAGCAAGGCTTCTTACTGGGCTGCTAGGCTCCCATCCCTGCCAGGCTGAAAGGAGCACCGTCAAAAATCCCAGAAAACTATTCACACTTAGGAAATGAGCAGTCCAGACAACACACATTAGAAGGTTTTATGAGCGATTCCAAGCACACAAACTTCCAATCCCCTTAGTACCACTTGTACCCATCAGCACTGTACCCACAAGACCTCCCATTTCATACTGTTCCCCCTTTGGCCTCAGTTCCTATGATGTGGGGAGAGGTGGTGGGTTTGTTTTTCATGAGACGTGTTAAATTCATCTTTTCCATAATCGTACAGTACAAGCTTGATACTGAAAATGAGCAGAGACCAGGATGAAGAAATGTCACTGGAAAGCCAGAAAAATGTCCTCTTGGAAAAAGCAATTCCATTCCATGAATGACGCTCACAACATCAATGCCAGGTCAGAAACCCTGATACTGACACCCCAAAGATCATCCTTCTACTATTAACACCAACACTGATACCTGCTCAGAACACTAAACCCTGACACTTAGACCCCAAACTGCAACACTGAGTGCTTTCTATTCCTATGCCCTAAAACCATCAACCCAAACCCAATGGGACTTCCTACCCCCAAATCTCAGTGACTCCCCCTTCCCCTCTTAATCTTCAATGCTGGCTCTTACCTTTAAGCCTCCACACTGACATCCCAAACAACACTGCCACCTCCTTGTACCCTTTAACACCAACACTACAGCCCTTACCTTTGAACTCGAGTGACTCCCCCTTGTACCTTATATCCCCAGATCCTGCAACATCCTATTCTATCCCAAGCCAAAACCAACCAGCAACAAAAATGAAAAAATAGAAGTAATGGATTGAAACCAAAATCCCTTCTCTAGGCAGAGCGTATTTTCTGAAAATGAAGAAGTATCAGGGACTCTGTAGAGTCCTTTAAGGACCTGACTACTGCTAATGATTATACATGGAAGGTTTCCAGTATGTTGAAGGAGAGCATCCTTCACCCAACAGCTATTTAGTGCATGGAGTTGGTTCAGTGGTATGAACGCTTGAGAGAAAGAAGTTCAGGAAGGACAGAACATCCCACTGTTGGACACTACAAGGTTAGAAAAGTTGCTAGAGTCCTAAAAATCACAGGTTCTAGGATTTAAGTCAGGCTCATTTAGTTACAGCATCTAGCTTTTCTTCCCTTTCCTAACAGAGTGCTCCACTCAGATCCATAGTCACCTGCTATCCCA